CTCGCACATCTCTTAGATATATATAAAAGTACACCAATGAATGGACAGTCGTATAAATTTTGTTTACAATATAACTCCTCGACATTCACTGCAAAACTTGATTCAAAAAGTTTTTGGCTTTTAAAAACTCATTTACGAAACGATTCGCTATTACTGAGTCTGAGTGCGAAAGCCTTGAACTGCGGCTATGGCTGTGAATGCAGTCTCTTATCGTGTATTTTGTTTATTATTATGTTTGGTATGACGTTGACAGCTGTGAGCACCGGGAGAACAGGGATGTCTGTGTGAATAGCCTACGATAGATGGTGGCAATGTATGCTTGCAATTATTGTAGTTTTCGATGCAATCAGGTTAGTTTTGGAAATTAAGTTTTATTTTATACGAGTTATTAATTCAGAAATAACTAGAACATTTATTAAATATTGTTTTTTAATTAATGTTTTTTGTATTTAATTAATTTATGTTCACTAAACCTGACGTATAGAGATACCTATCCCATGATAGGCGAGTTCATTTTAGATGTACTTCCCTGACAATATTATTTGAGTACTTTTTCTGAGTACTTATCTATCAGTAACCAAGGTAGTGTTTATTTAATTTATAATATATAATACCAGGGTGTATGTAGGTTTGTGACTGTTTGTAACTATAAATATGTCACTAAACCTCATGTCATACAAATGGGTGATGACTAATTTAAAGTAAACAAGTTAAATTAATTAAAATAATAACAATCCCAGATAGTTTTATTATGGTATGGTGGAATATACTGCCTAACCTTGGTGATTCCCTAAAGCTATAGTTGATTATAAGGAAAGTAGAAATCACAACTTTAAATACATGTAGCATTTGCTACACTGAATTGCATGGTGACTATCTTTGAGTAAGGTCACCTGTACTCCCGGTGCACTTTATTACCAGTGTCTGACACAAGGCATAAATGATCCGTAACCGATTTACACAAACTATTGGATTTTGTAAAAATATTTTAACACTAATTTTGTTAGAAGTATAGATACAAAATGTTATTTATCCCAGGTGATTCTCAGTGCCATTTTAAAAACAAGTGTTTATTTCATTTCTACGTATTTGTTATAAATTATAATTTTTACATCAAAAACAAGTCAATCATTTGCATGAAATTAATTGTCATTTTATTTATGCAAAACTTTTTGATGAAATATTTTAATTATTATTTCATTTATAAAATCCTAATTAAAATGTAATTTAATTAACATTTTCGATGAGTATAGCAATACCCTGTCCGCCGCCAATACAGGCCGAGCCTAAGGCATACTTTCCAATGAAATATTTTAATTATTATTTCATTTATAAAATCCTAATTAAAATGTAATTTAATTAACATTTTCGATGAGTATAGCAATACCCTGTCCGCCGCCAATACAGGCCGAGCCTAAGGCATACTTTCCCTTCCGGCGCCGCACCTCATACACCAGATTAGTCATAATCCGAGCGCCTGTCGCTCCCAGAGCTGATCCACGTAAACAAAAAAATCAATGATTAGTCACAAGAAAACAAATCCCATAGACAGAGGGGAAAGGGATGTGTGGAGACATACGGTGTCCGATAGCTATGGCGCCCCCATTAACGTTGGTTTTGTTGGGATCCAAACCCAACTCCTTCTCGACGGACGCGAACTGCGAGGCAAAGGCCTCATTCACTTCAATCACATCCATGGCCTCCAGTGTCAGCCCAGTCTTCGCCAATAGTTTCTTGATAGCCGGCGCCGGACCGATACCTGTCCACCGCATAGACATACATAGCGTTAGCATCGATAGTAATCCACACAATAAATGAGTCAATTCTCGCACCCATTATAGTGGGGTCGACACCGACGCACGAGTGGCCGACAATACGGGCTAAGGGTTTGAGATTATGTCGTTTGACGGCCTCCTCAGAAGCCAACACCAAAGCCCCGGCGCCGTCGTTAACGCCCGACGCGTTACCCGCGGTTACCGTTCCGTTGCGCTCGAAAACGGACCACAGTTTCGCCAACTGGTCGGCCGTTGTCTTAGGCTTCGGGTGTTCGTCCGTATCAAACATGACGTCCTTTCCCTTCAGTTTGATGGGCACCGGCACCACCTCCTCCTTGAATACGCCGCGCTCGTAGGCGTCGGCCCACCGTTGCTGCGACCGCAGGGCTATGGCGTCGGCCCCCTCTCTGGAGATCTGGTATTTTTTGGCCAACTTTTCGGCCGTCTCTCCCATCCGTATGTTGCAGTTGTGGTCCTTCAGGCCCTCCCACAAGCCGTCCTCCAGCTGTCAGTCCATAGGATTTGTTATAAAATATGTGTTTTTCATGTATGGGTTCACTCGCATACCAGTGGTGTGGCCGATAGCCTGACCCCAAACCGGGCGCCTCTCATCTGTCAGTTAATAACAGTTTGTATTTCTCGCAATTTATGGCGAAATACCGTTTCCTGTGATTACCATAAATGGCGTTAAACTCATGCTTTCGGCGCCGACAGCCAGAGTGATGTCACAATCGTTTGATACGATGTCCTAATGTATCGCAAAGAAAATACATTATCATCTGCCGGTGCTATCACTACCGTTAAGAATACCTGAGCGCCCGTCATAATAGCCTGAAAACCTGAGCCGCACTGTATGTTCACACAAAGCGCCGGCACCTCCAGAGGTATACCCAGTCGTAAGACCAGACCTCTCGGTATGATTGGCGTGTCGTTGGCGGCGATCTATGGGTCGGTTTTGAGACCAAAAGAGTTAATCAAAGTTTTGTTTGAATAAAACAAAATTGAGTTAAAAGTGAGACCTGGATAACAGTGCCGACGGTGACTGAGTTGACCAGTTTAGGGTCGACACCGGCAGCCTGAAGGGCACCCCTGGCCGCTATCTCGCCCAACTCGGTGGGGGTTTTGCTTTTCAATGCGCCCCCAAACGTGCCAAAGGGGGTGCGTTTGGCCCCCACTANCTTCTCCGCCCATAATAGTCACGAAATTAGGAGTTCCTGCGAGGAGTTGTGTCAGAATGAGTGTCACAACCAGTTCTTTGACTTCGTCTTCAAGAAGAAGACTAGACTACCGCTGAGTGCGTGGGATATGCGGACATCGGTCTACATATCGCACAACCATTTGCCGGATCAGGTGGTGGAACACCTGCCGGAGATGACGTTCATCTCATTCATAGCCAGTTTCGGCGGTTTGGTGGGCATGTGGTTAGGGCTGTCGGCGTTGGCTATATTTGACTTTATCATGCAATTCCTATAAGCGGTGCTAATTGTGTTGATTTTGAATATGATTTATAAATTTATTATTGCTGTATGAATAATGTTTCGGAAATATAATCAACAGTTTTTATGTAAATAATTTTTGTAATAATTTTTCTCATAAATGAACTAGCTTATTTTATATTTGTATCTTATAATCAACAGTTAGATTCTAAACTTTACACAATATTAGCTGTATATAATTGTGCTATTAAATATAATTTGTTCATGCACAGTATGTTGATTAAAAATTATTAGATATTTGAGTTGCCTTGGTGAAAAGTGATCTCAAGATTGAAAACAATAATTGTTAATAAATGACAAAGTACTCGGTTTGCACTCAAAATATACTGATTATTTGTTCATAAACAGTAAACCAGTTCCTATGCAATAGTATTGACAAACAAACTGTAATTTTGAATCTTATTTCTCAACTTAAAATCCGACAAAAATAGTTTACTTCAATTGATTTGCATTTTAATCGCTGTTCATATTGTGTAAATCATTTATGCATTCATTTGTGCATAAATTTCAATTAAATTAATAAACTTCTGTCTCATTCACTATATATTCACTACAAAAAACATTTACAAAACTTTTTGCGCGAAAAATGTCGCAACTTATGAAAGGTATGTAAAAAAGTCATTAAAAACCTATTAATCACTCATAAAATTAGTCTCAAAACTAAATCCACTCAACAATTTCAGGTGTGTTTATAGTGGGGGCCAAACGCACCCCCTTTGGCACGTTTGGGGGCGCATTGAAAAGCAAAACCCCCACCGAGTTGGGCGAGATAGCGGCCAAGGGTGCTCTTCAGGCTGCCGGTGTCAACCCTAAACTGGTCAACTCAGTCACCGTCGGCACTGTTATCCAGGTCTCACTTTTAACTCAATTTTGTTTTATTCAAACAAAACTTTGATTAACTCTTTTGGTCCCAAAACCGACCCATAGATCGCCGCCAACGACACGCCAATCATACCGAGAGGTCTAGTCTTACGACTGGGTATACCTCTGGAGGTGCCGGCGCTTTGTGTGAACATACAGTGCGGCTCAGGCTTTCAGGCTATTATGACGGGCGCTCAGGTATTCTTAACGGTAGTGATAGCACCGGCAGATGATAATGTATTTTCTTTGCGATACATTAGGACATCGTATCAAACGATTGTGACATCACTCTGGCTGT